CGCGGTACTGACGTGGCTACTCGTTCACGCGCAAATTTCACCGCATTTCACCTTCTGTGCAAGCACACTATATTTACCGCTAAATCTACTCGATTGTACTTTACGGCCATCGCTCGTTACTGTTCTCATAGACTGTTATTCTATTGCGGATTCTGCCAGTTTTGTGTACTTCAGGTATTTAATTTTCTATACTGTTTACCACAACTCTTCAAGCTTGTGCCATGTCCCCGACATCGCTTACCGAAATTTAATCCGGAAACGAATAAGGCATGTTTAATCTCCACATTCTGTCCTTGTATCCATTTGTTGGTGTTTAGGTTGGCATGAGTATGGCTGAGTTCAAAGAATCGGATCTCAAATTTCTCGGAAATTTTACTCTCAAACTGTTCTCCGCGTTTGGTCTACTTCACAGCAGAAGTTTTGATAGAGATGGGACGAGGCAAGTGCTCGTTATTTTTCTTCGAGAGATGTTCGACTTTCTCTCTTAATAGAGTTGTTTTCAAATATACTCACACGTGTGGGATCTAATGCTAAATCATGCAAAAAGTTTGTGTTCCATCTTTTTCGCAAAAAACTACTCTAAGTTTGCATTTGAAATGATGGCAAACCTGCAATCAAAATTGTCGATATGTGCTTTTGCTACCTCGTGTTCACCGGTTTGGGTCTTCTTTCCTGCATAAAGTTCTTCTTATTAGCAATACTACTACTACGTCTTATGTTATGTCTTGTGTCTGTTGTTACGGCCATAGGTTGCCGGCAACTGTTGTCGGTGTTGTCCGTTTTGTAGCCGCTAAGTTTTGTTTTGCAATTTGCAGGAGATTGTTTGTAGTTAATTTGAAATAAATGTCTTGTTTCTTCATTCTTCTATCTTCAATCCACAAACGCTAGGGGTGAGAGGGAGGGGGTAAAGAACGGGGTTGAGGGTCGCGCTGAACGGGTGTATGACTTTATGAACGATAGCATGTGCCAGCCGCCAGCTGGGTACCGTACGCGATGCGCCGATCGCTCCGCCCCCTTGTTAATTAGCCTAGGAATGCGTTGCAGCTATTGAAAAACTCTCTAATATTTCGTTCATGCTTCTTCAGTTGGTTCCAATTTGGATAACAGTAGATTTCAGAATTTGAATTCAATTGAAAATCAGTTTTCAGGTCATTTTTCAATTTAATTAGTTCACAAGCTCTTTTTAATGTATTTCAGTTATTTATTCCTGGTAGATTTGTCTAAATTGAATTTTCATTGTAAGTATGAGGAAATTGTTTCGAAAATGCTTGAAAAAGTGTTTCTCCTTTATTCACATCTGTTACTATATTGAATATTCTTTATTGTGCACTCTCATTAGTTCAAAAAGAAGTCAGCTTATCGAGAAATATTATTATTATCGCTGAAATGACCAACACGATTATGAATTTTGATACAAGCAAACTGATTTCAATAACTTGTGTACATCATTACATTTGGTAATGTTTCGCACAATCAGATATCACTCGTTTTGCAAATATGCGGTCATATCACACAAATTTTTTCGGATTCCAAAATCGCAACCAATTTCAATCATCAGGAAAATCGCTTATATTTTTTCGACTCTCCTTCAAATATCAAAATTCCTTCATTTTGCTTCCAAAAAGTACTATCCTCAGTATAAATTGATCTGTAATTCAAACGAAATTGCGCATGAACTAGTCATAAGATGTGAGGTCAAGGCAATCATGCCTGAGGTGTTCTAGATTGATCTCACACTTCAAAGCCGGACAAAGTTGGATATCCAGGAGTCACTCGGTCATACAATAGGTGAATCAGGAAATCTCTTGAATTTCACGATCAACTTATCTGCTATTCATTGACTGGCAAAAAAAAAGAAAAAAGAAATCAGATTAAGATTCTGTAAATAGTCTAGCTTCATCCCAGCTTGCAACAAGCTTAGACCACTATCAAAGTTGCTTTCACTTGACTAAGGAACATGACCATGAACCAGTGCTAGAGCTGTACTGCAATGAACTCGTCCATCTTGCGATAGGCGGGGCTAACGGTGCGCACCTTATTGACACTCGCCTGCCCAAGCGCGCGCTATCGTTCAGAAAGTCCGCCACCCCGCTGAACTCTTACCCGGGGGGGGGGGGTCGTATTCGGCTGATTTGGGTGGGGTTTAGAGACAAAATTGGGGTTTGGAGTTTAATTAGGGCTAACTACAGTATGCCGCGGCAGACCTGCGGAGCACAAAATCGGGGGGCTCCGGAGCGCAAATGGGAGGTCTCCGGAGCAGAAAATGGGAGGTATCCGGAGCAGAAAATGGGAGGTCTCCGGAGCAGAAAATGGGAGGTATCCGGAGCAGAAAATGGGAGGTCTCCGGAGCAGAAAATGGGAGGTATCCGGAGCAGAAAATGGGAGGTCTCCGGAGCAGAAATGGGAGGGCTCCGGCGGACGAGTGGCAGACCCACCGCTGGGGAAACCCCGCGGCCCTGCCATTTTTCCGGCGGAGGGGTCCTATCCGCTGTCTGAGAAGTTAGTTCCTTAGTCCCACTGCGCGTACACAGGCCAAATTTTGGTGCTATATCGCCATCTGTGCGTTGCAAACGAGTCATTTTATCATCCTGTGGTAGCGGGAAATTTTCAGAGAAAAGATTGCCACAACCTTTAGTCACATGTTTTTTCCATGAAACATCTCGGTTAACTCTTGCAGACCCGTTTCTATGTATGTAACAAGTTTTGTGCCATATCGTCGCCTGTGCTTTGCGAAGCTAATTTGATTTACATCTCCACTCGCTAATTATGAAAAATTTCGGAAAACAAGCTTAGTACACTATCCAGTCACATAAGTTTTTTTAACATTTCATACTTTGTCCCCACTCTGCTATATTTGTTTATCTACGCAATTTGGTGCCATACCGTTACGCATACATTGAGAAGTAGTCGTGTAAGCTGTTCCAGTTTGCATCGGTTAAGCGATGTCGCGCGTGCGGCATCCAGTGGCTGCGCGATTTCACGCGCGCTGCCCAATCTCTGGGAAAAAGCCCAGGTTGTTTGCCATTCCATGCCTATCAATTTATTCCCGAAACTCAGTACCCGGCGCCGCAGAAACGATCCCTTTGCTTTTTTCGCTTGAAACGATCCAGCTTGTCATTTGCTTACCACGTGCTGAGCCCTGGCTTAGACTTGTAAGCCATCTTTTCATTAGCACTTTGCTACTCCTGAGAAGTTCGAAAGGATCTCAAGAAAGAATGAGAGAATTTTTAGACAGAAAGAGAAAATGAGCTCTGTACCGCTAAATTGGCTTCACTGCAGTGACTCATGTACGTGAAAGTAAAGATAGTGTTGATATGGGCTTTATTCCTTTCCTTATTACGAACATACTTTGCCAATTTTGCTGGAGTTTACTAGAGGAAGAGGAAAAAAGTGTAACACTATGCTTATAATATGATCGCCTGCTTTGCTTTTCTCTCCATGATTATTCTATCACCAAACAAAGTCTGTTTTAGGGTGGTGAAAGCAATGATCTTGACTGATAAACACCTCAAATATATCGGAGATGATGGAATAGAATATAATTTACCAAATGTGACTCGAAATTTAGAAGCATACTTGAAGACTGCAGATGCTATATCAAGAGATGTAAGAACTCTTCTGTGATTCCATTTTAATCATTTGCTAGTTGTTGTGTTGTGAAAACTATTTTCAATTTTTAGATTGCAAATTCATCTAACCCTGAAACTAGTGAGGCGCAAAAAATTCTGGAAGACATTGATTGTAGAAATATACCCGTTATAATTGCAGAAGTAGAGTGCGGACCATCCTGTGCTGAGTCGGCAGGTTTTGATGTGTTAGCTATCATGGTTGATGAAACAAAGTTTTGGCTTCGCATCAAAATTGCTCAAGTTTATATTTTTATGTGCGGTGTTTGTCGGTACGTTGGTGTTGGTGCTAATCAGTGCTTTAGCTTAAATCTTTGTCGGACGATGTTGCCACTAATTGAAGTAATGTACAGATATGGCCTTTCTTCTTCTTTTCTGACAGTTTGAGAAAGTAACTGAGATATTGTGCCACGAGTTTAAAATAACACCAGATTCAATCTTTTCTCAGCTAGAAGAAGCTCAACATAAGCGTATCAGCACTCAAATAATAATGCCCTGATGCCAGTAAGTCGATGAGTATTCTAATTTTGCACAGAATAAAGTCGTTAATTCGCCCCATACTGAAGCGCGCAGCTAGGAATAGCACATTTGAAACCAGCGTTTAAAGCTGATTCAGAAAATAAGCGAGCTTATTTAGGTACCTTCCCTTGTTAGTCGCAAATGCTGAAGGATTGGATCGTTCTAAGTAGTAGCGAGTTGCCAAATGAGATGCTTTCGACATCTGGGCCGGTAGTTATCCCCCCGACCTGGCGGCATGTTTCGCCGTCAGGTCGCCGTCAACTTTACGTGAAGTCGGCGCGAACACCGAGCTCGAATTTGCGCCCTCCCAACTCTTTTCAACACGTATTTCTGGTCGAGGAGGTCATAGTGACCTTAGGGAACCTTACCTGGCAACTGAAGGTGCTAAAAACCCCCCTAAACAGAGCAGCAGGGGAAGGCAGGAAGTGCTGGCGGCAACTTCGCGAGCTTACCTGGCGGCATCTCGTCGAAATTTCAGCGCTGAGAGATGTCGCCAAATCAGAGAATACGAAAAATAACGTGCTCTTTTGAGAGATCAAGGTGCCACCCCTCACGTGCCCCTACCATGTTAAGGTGGTGGCACCTTGCTGGCGGCGTCTGCAAGTTTGGGTAGTGCGGCAATATCACACAATTTACGTCGGGCGAAAAAATCAAAAAATTCTACTTTCCATCAAGAAACTATCATTTTTCCCATTATATGAGTTTTTCTTTTTTGAAACGACGATTTTCTTACAGAGGAAAAATCTAGTAATGCCTGAGAACCATAAAAAACACCATCTTTCTTGGAAATCCCTTCTAAATCTCGTTTGCACCGATTTCGCCCCTCTCTCGCTCATATCAATCAGCTGTTCTTTCAGGTCAAAGTCTCTCACGCAATGTATCGATCCCTCTTACAGGCGGCCACTTACCACTGTGTTCCTCCTATTGGTGCAAACGTCAATGATTGATCGAATGGTCGAATGGTTAACGTGGTGGCACTTGAAGTTTACGCACTTAGGTTCGACCGCGCGTGAGGTAGCAGTTTTGCGGCTGTGTGCATCATCAAAATTCAATGTGCGAAATATTGTGTACTGAGGTTAAGTAAGATTATTGAACCTAGAATCACTCCGCGAGCTGCCGCCGAAGATGGCAACTTTCCGTGATGTGTGCCAACTTGGCGGCATCTTCAATGCCGCCAAGTAGGGTAGATTACTACCGGCCCTGCTGCCAGGATGGGGAAACTACTGCCGGCCGTGAATCATTCGGTCGTCCACTCAACTGTATCTGAAAGGCCGGCTAAGCGTACTAGCAAAACCAGCTCCATTAACACATTGACGACAAGGTGACCCACATGGTGGGTCATGCAATGACTGCCACGTGGGACAATGTGACCCACATGGTGGGTCATGGCATTAATTTTTTTGAAATAATGACAATCACTGGGTACATCTGTTTCTTGAGGTTTTTTATGCTCTAACCCTAGAAAATACCTTGATGTTTCTTGGCCGCTTTCAAGAATTTACGTAGGTACAGTTAAGATGACAATCTGCTTGATTTTAGCTAGAAATCTTCGACTCGTTCGTGGAAGGCATTGTCCCACAAGGCAGACAACTAGAAATGCGCGTTGTCGTCAACGTGTTAAGGAACCTTTCAACACTTTATAAACTGCTGAGGGAAGTTTGCTAAATAGTACATGAAAGGTCCAATTGGAATCTAATGGTTTGAAAATTATAGCATTATTCTATTAGGTTGTCCGGAAATTAATGTTCGTTTGGAATTTAAACCGCAATAGTCATAAACTTCTCACTTTTAGATGGGTTACAAAGTACCATGACAGAGCAAAGCAAGCTTTACAAGATGGCTGTTCTGATTTTGCACCAGCTTCTCCACCTCGAGTTTGAATTCAATAACTAAAACGTTTCAACTGCCCGAAAATTCGAGAAAAATGGTAACTTAGTCAATGATTGCCCTTAAAACATTCTGACTTGCTCCCGTAGACACTATTTACATAGGACATCTATATACGCCGTTGGCGTAATTTTTTCTCAGTTGAAAACCAAGAAAACGTGCTGTTCGCGCACATGTAATTGTATACTACTTACCTGTAGGAGTATAGGCATAAATTTTCAGCTCTCTACAAGCTTTACTACTCAAGAAATATCAAATGCAGCTTTCCCTAGCCGGGTAATCTACTCTAAAATTCAAAATTTTCGAAAACTAGAGCTTGTGGAGAGCTGAAAAATTATGCTTATACTCCTACAGGTCAGTAGTATACATGTGTGCGAGCAGTACAGCATCACTTTGGCAGAAGCATGAAAATCTTCGCTTTCTTGATTTTCAACTGAGCAAAAATTAAGCCAACGGCGTATATAGATGTCCTATGTGGATAGTGTTTACGAGAGCAATTCAGAATTTTTTAAGGGCAATTGACTGACTCTCGAATTTTCGGGCATTTAAAACGTTCTAGTTTTTAAATTCAAACTCGAGGTGGAGAAGCTGGTGCAAAATCAGAACAGCCATCTTGTAGAGCTTGCTTTGCTCTGTTGAATGGTACCTAATAATCCATCTAAAAGTGAGAAGTTTATGACTTATTGCGGTTAAATTCGAAACGGACATTAATTCCGGACAACCTAATACTTCCCGTTTTATCCTTTCCTAAACGCGAAGTTTCAATTTCTATACCTTCTCCAAAACCTCGGTAAACAAAAGGGCAAAAAATTTGTGTTCTTTCCAGCAGTTTCCTAGTTTCTCTTTTTTTTGTCGAAGACTCACGGCTATACCGAATGACGTTCTGAACTGGCCTGTTATCATTGAAATTCAGTGAGAAATAGTTTTGGTCGCTGGTGTTTAGCAGTGGCGGTCGCAGGATTTCGGACCGGGGGGGGGGTGCGAAAAAATTTTTTTCAAATGAAAGTGCGTGGCGTTAGCCACGCACTCCGAAAAAATTTTGGGGGTACTTCTCATAGTTTTTGCGGGTCCCCAACCCTTAAAATCTGGAAAAAGGGGGCGTGGCGTCAGCCACGCCCCGAAAAGAAATTTTTTATAAGGCTAATTTGAATTTTTAAAAAATTTTAAAAATTTAATTATTTACAAAAATAAACAAGTCGTTTGCACACTTTTATAACCCATATAGGTAAGTTTCAAAATTCCCCCCCCCCCCCTCGGACCGCCACTGGTGTTTAGGTATAAATAAAGGTCTTTATCCATTTTGACTCAGGCAATTTTATTTATTATAGAGAGTCGAAGCAGAGTGAATGGAAAGTTTATGTATGTTGATACTGATAATGATATGAAATGTTATAACGAGTGACGAGAAAGTTTAATTATCTGAGTTGCAGAGCTATTTTAGTAATCTTTAACTCGTCCTAGCAATATTGATAGATGATATACATTAATATCCTATCCCTTAGCAATACTCCTTACAGTTTGCCCTGCAGATACTGATTAGTCAAAGGCTCCGCGAAGAGCTTCCTATGAGCTACGATGAGAAGAACATCATGGTTTTGGTGAGTCAGCAGGACTTAGACATTCTAGTAAGACGTTGTTGAGAATTGAAAGGTTGTGATTTTGTCAGGCGCGAGTGATGCACCGTGGGTTGGACGGTAGACCTCAGGGTTTCTTTTATACTTGGGACCGAATCGAATAATCATTCGATCATTCGAATAAATCATTCGAATGCGAATGATTCGAAAAGTCGAATATTCGAAAACCTGAGATTTCGAATAAAATTCAAAAGTCGAATACTCGAAATTTTCAGATTTCGAATATATGCGATAGTCGAATATTCGAAAATCTTCATTTTCGAATATTATTCGAAAGTCGAATATTCGAAAATCTTGACTTTCGAATATTATTCGGTAGTCGAATATTCGAGGGTCATTCATTCGATCATTCGATGTCCATCAAATATTCGAATATTCGTTGAACACCGAATATTCGGAAATTTGATAAGCACCGAGTATTCGAAAATTCGTTTTGCAAAGCGTATACGGGCTGTCTTAAAAGTATCTACACACCGTTTGATCGCTAATACCTCTCAAACTCTTTTGCCAATTTCTGGGTAACATCCAGTAGGAATGGCTTCAGCTTATAAATACAGCAGAAAGCGAATCACCCATGTTTTTCTTGTTGTGTGTTATCACGGTAGGAAATTCCAGCATATAGACCAACCGCAAAATAAGACATCCAAAAAAATTGCCCCAAAAAAGGTCCAAAATCTGTGCAGCAGTGTTTTTACGTATGCTGATTTTACTACGCACGAGTTTTTAAGCTTTTCAAATGGCAATCACATTTTTGAGAGGCATTGCAAAACACTTGTTACGGTATACCTGGAGTGGGTTTTGGAAAAAGCATTACGGTTGAGTGCAAATTCTACATAAAGCGAGTGTCTTTAAAAGTCTAATGCAAGACCTTCGGCACTTTTGATTCTTTTTCTTGGGGAAATGGCTCTTGATGTTTCAAAGCCCGCTTCAATCTTGAGGTAACTTGATAACAATGAAAAGCGATTGATAAGTCGCCACATACTCTAAGTTGATGTCAGCCTACAGATCTACATACTCTTGGGACCGCTGTATATCCAATCGCAACTCTCAGTGAGTTTATATAATCTTCTTTGAAGTACGAAAAATCTCTTCATAACCGTCACCAGGAATAGCTTTTGGGTTCCTAAGTCTCTTCACGTCACGACTAAACCGTTTTTCCATCGTAAATTGTAACATAAGAAAGTGACCATTCTAAACATTTGGATGAAACAATTTATTCTTAGATGTTTTATACTTTCGTAGACAGTATCAATGATGTAAATTACTCGATCAGTATTCGAAAATCGAATGATATTCGAAAATCAAATAACATTCGAGGACCGAATAATATTCGAAACTCGAATAACGAATGATATTCGATATTCGAATATTATTCAATTCGAAATTTTCATTTTTGAATAATATTCGATAGTCGAATATTCGAAATTTCCTATTTTAGAATAATATTCGAAAGTCGAGTATTCGAAATTTTCGATTTTCGAATAATATTCGATAGTCGAATATTCGAGAATTTCGATTTTCGAATGTTATTCGATACTCGAATATTCGAAAAAAATTTCGATTTTCCCTAAGTATAGTTCCTTTATACTACGCCGCAGGACGCAGCAGCCTGGCGCAGCACGTCGCGTCCTGCGGCGTGCGCCGCTGCAGTTGCAGTGAAAATATGAGCTTGCTCGCTGTCAAGGAACACTCGGAGAACACGAACGTACACCAAATATAGTTATACATCCATAACCGGCGAATCTGTGCTTCCGCGTGCGTATATTTTCACTGCGCCTGCAGCGGCGCACGCCGCAGCACGCGGTGTGCTGCGACGTAGTATCGAGAAACCCCCATCCTATGACCAGAGTTTTGTTATATGATAATAAGCTTAGTGGCAATGTAGTTGCACGGACAGTCGATGACGAGTGGGTGAGTGAATAGGAAATAAATTGATTATATTTATACGGAACTTTTAGCACCGCCTGAAAACCCCACGAGAAGCAGCTATCTGGTCTATCTGTTTGTATGTGTCTCGCTCTATGAGTAATGACGAGAGATCAATAGTAATCAATGCTTTCGACGCTGTAGTGGCGAGATTTGGTTTACGATCACCAGAATGTAAAGTAAGCTTATCGTTATGATGTGGTTGAATCTTGAGCAATATTTTTATTCCAGAGAAAAAATACACTAACGCCTAGTGGCTAAACACCCAAAAGGGGTCAGTGATCGAAGTCAAAATCATGGAAAGGATTTACACAATTCCTTTCTTATGTGATCTTGGAATAGTTACCTGTAGACTAACGCAATAAATATTTCTGGATGTCCTTCTGTACTTCTGAAGTGGAAGTCTTCTAAGCTAAGAACGACAAGCACAAGCAATCTCTAAATTAATTCAAAGACATGCTTTAACTCGTTTGCCACTGGTTCTGTGATGCCTACTGTAGAGATACTCAAATCTACATGACTTTTTTTATGAAAATCCCTAGGCGCAGTGAGGAAAGGATTTGTAACTTGCAATTTTGGAAGGGTGTACCAATCCAGTCCATTTCATTGCAATATAGCAGATTCAAATGCTAGGAGACAATAAACTAGGGAGACGGTTAAGAAGCGCGACTTATCCGGCCCTCACCAATTCAAAACTCCAGTTTGGTATTATGCGAGTCTTCGAAAAGTACTACAGTACGTTGGCTTTCCATCTTTCTGAAGTTACCACTTGCTGATTTTGGTGGCTTTTGCTGGAAAACGAAGCAAAATATTTATTTATTTACTTACCTGCATTTTCATGGGTTTTTGACCTTCAAATTTGCTGTTTTGTATTGACTACAAGGCAGCAAGATAAGGCAACTCATGCAAACTGTCAAACTCTGTCTAATATATATATTTCCTTCTAAAATTTAGATACTTTTAGAATGTTATATAACTCTTATTATGTGCTATTTAGTGCCTGTTGTGATTAAATGATCAGTTGTTGCTCATGGTGACCTGCCTTGCGTAGTCGGTCGCAACCTCAGAGTGCGCGGGAAATGCACTATAAAAGAAGCTCACTCTTCGCCTCAGCCAGTTCTATTGTTCACTCTTTCGCCTCTTCTACTGTCTATTACTTTCTTTAATGAAAATTCCTGGTTCTTCCTGTGCCGACCAAAGAACGAAGGCAGCGAAGAAGTGTCCGAAGCTCGAGGACACAACAATGCGCTTCTTGACATACATACACCATACACGTAAATAATAATAACTCCATGGTAGCATTTCGATTCGACAGGAGTATAAACGTGGTGGTAGGTGTCGAATACAAAGTATGGGACGCGCACAAACACAAAATTCGGATGATGGTGAGTAAATCCATAAACACAGAGAACAGCGATCTAATCGAGATCAGAGAAGAGCAACATGAGTTTTACATAACACTACTGCTCGATTATGTTGCTTTTGGTTGCTATTTATAACTCTCAGAAACACTGATTCTATCGAGTGTCTTGGGCGGGCACTGCGCAGCGTACGCGCGCTTAATTAGAAGATAACAGCATTTCGCTTACCTCTATCACGCATTTAAATCTGGTTTGAATTGTACGAAGTAATCACCTTGATCTGCGTCCCACGATAGTCACTCATTGTCCCTTGTTTGCGGCAAATTTTAGGACATTTATAAACTCCCTTTCGATGAAATATCAAAGCCTAGCACCCTGGAAGCGGTTCAAGCTGAATATGGTGTCTGGGGAGAAAAGTGTAGAGGGAATGTGCTTTTTGCGGGTCAGGGGCGAAGAATAGCTGCAAGCATGCCCCCGGCAAGCAGGAGACGTGCTCCACTACCACTACCTTTGAAAAAAGAAAAAAACAGAAACTGAAGTTACACTGTAGGTCATTTAGCAGCTTTTTTTGCTAACGAGGTATGCCTTTCAAAGTGGCCTCACATGGCACCTACATTATTGAAGACGTCTTTGAACGCTGATTCCAAATCTGCTTTACATGTTTTGCAAACCAACGTTCCGAGAGCAGTTATGAGCGTTTGAATGTCTATATTTGTAAGATCTTGTGTGGCATAAAATCAGCGAAAAGAAAATTAAGAAATCAGTCTTGTATCAAGTATCAAGTTGTCCCAAAAATATCGTCCGTTTTGATTTCTAATAGCAATAAATTATGAACTTCTTGTTTGTAGATAGGGTTCAAGGTACTGTTCGATAGAGCAAAGCAAGCTCTATAAGATGGCTATCTCATTTTACAACAGCTCTGATCCATCTCGAATTTCAAGGCAAAAAGTAAAAAGATTCACTGCCCGGAAAATTGAGGAAAAAAAGAGAAAAAAATCATAACTCCGTTTAAAAAAAATTCTACAAAAATTTTAACTCGTTCACGTGAACACAATCCATATAACACATTTACATACGCCATTGCGTATTTCTTCCTCGGCTAGAAATCAAGAAAACGAAGATTTTCATGTTTTTCTCAAAGCGATGCTGTGCTGTTCCAACATAGACATTTATGTACTACTAGCCTGTAGAATTACAAATGTAACTTTTCAGCTTCCTACAAGCTTTGGTTTTCGAGAAATATCAAATACAGCTTGCCTTAGTTGGGTGCCTTACGCTAAAATCCATATTTCTCGAAAACTAGATCTTGTAGAGAGCTGAAAATTTACATTTATACTTCTACAGGCTAGTAGTACACAACTATCTATGTAGGGACACCACAGCATCGCTTTCGCAAAACAAGAAAATCTTCGTTTTCTCGATTTCTAGCAGGGAAATAAATATGGCAACGGCGTATATAATTGTATTAGATGGATCATGTTTACGCGAGCAAGTTAGAATTTTTGTAGGATATTTCTAAACGGAGTTATGATTTTTTTTGATTTTTCGGGTAGTTGAATCTTTTTAGTTTTCGCCTTGAAACTCGAGATGGATCAGTGCTGGTGCAAAAGCGAGATAGCCATCTTATAGAGCTTGCTTTACTCTATAAAATTCATGATTTATTGCGGTTGAAAATCAAAACGGACGGAACTTATGGGACAGCCTGGTATATAGGCTACAGAAAAACAGCCATGGAAATCTGAAAAGTCCGCATAGGTGACTAAAACATGACAAATTTGGACATCCAAACTTTTTTTGAAGAATTGTTTCGCAGAAAAGAAAAGTGAATTTGAAATTACCATTATATTTGTATATATGTCCGTGGAAAAGCCACTTTGACCAATAAGACTTCCCTTGTAAGACATGGCTTCAACACGAGACACCAAGTCTTTTCGAAATTATTCGCCTTGCGCGAATCGGTTGATGCCATAAACACCTTATCATTTTTGTATGACACCGTGTCATTATCTTGCCGAAATTGCGCAACTGCTAGTATAAATTTCCTGCGAAGTCTAAGTGCGTTCCTGAAGCGTGATCCTCCGTGCAGCTATGATGACCTCACGTGAGCATTTTGTTACTTAAGTGCATTTAATTCACTTCTTCCCGCCACTTCTCGCTTCCTACAAATACGTGGCTACATTATTTAGTGCAATACAGTGGCAAGAATTTTCAAGACAATAGGATGTTTTTTACAAAGAAACCGGTTGAGAAGGAGAAAATCCTTCTCGAATGGCCTCCTTTGCTGAAAGTCAGTAAGATTAGAATTCTTTTCAAATACCAGTGATGATTCTCAGTAGGAAGTTCAGAAGCGTGAAATTCAAGACATGGTTCACGGTCCCATTTCCTTGTTCCACCCACTCGACCAAGTGGTAGATAGAAGAGAGTTTCAACGATTACGTGAACTAAAACAGCAAGGTGTCTCATACTTTGTGTGTTCATGTAGCACACATAGCCGTTTTGTGCATAGTTTAGGGTTAGTTTCCAATAATTTTCTCTTCTTCTTTTTTGAGATACTCCAACTTGCAGAGCTTATTGGCTAGCATACAAATTTGTGGAGTCTCTCAAACGGGATACTTCTCTGAATATTACCAGTCAGGACTATCTGTGCGTTTGTTTGGCAGCACTCTGCCATGACTTAGGTAAAAAGCGAATTTTGATAATTATCTGTGATTCTTCGAGGAGAATTTAGGGAACGGTCCGTTTCCACATTTTGATGGAGCTTTTCGCCATGCGTCTGGAACTGCAACTCAATCAGAGTTTTCGGTATGTATAGTCCATAGGTTGATTTCTTTAAATTACTGTTTATGCTATAACCATAAGGCATCTGCGCACATTGAACATAGTTTACTTTTTGTGAAACTAAAAAAATGGAATGTTGAAAATTTAACATCAATAACCACAAAACTGAGCCGATTTGCAAATTTTCAAACCTTCTACATAATACCTTTTTGATGAGAAGTTCTTCACTCAGTCTGAGTAAGCAGCTAAGGTTCACAAAACTGGAAAATATAAAGTAAATTGAGAACGTAACAAAACCAAAAGATATCCAAATCCGTTTCATTCCTGCCACTAGATGAAAAAGAAAGGAGTACAAATCTTTCTCCGGAATTTATCAGCAGTGAAAAATCGTATGGTTAAGAAAATTATAAGGGAACTAATCAACCTTTGTCTAGTCAGTCGTTCCTATCACCTCAATCCATGTGTGTGGACACATCTGAAAATCATAAACGAGTCAATAAAATTCAAGTAGAATAACAAAGTGAAATAAGTAAGACGAGGCGAACATCAACTTGTGGCCTTTTCTGAAAACGTCCACAATGTCTAAAATGCTCTAAAGGACTAGTGTCACAATATTGTAACTTTTATTTGATCTCTGATGCAGCGCTGTAAACGGCACAAAGTAGTGCACAGCATTAAGATAAGCATGAATCTAGTATGCTGATGGAAAACTATGTTGGCAATATTGCTACTGTTGATTTTAAAAAAGGGGAAGATATTGGGAAAGTTTTCCAGAAGTGGCGAACAAGCGATTTAGCGCGAACCTTTTCACTGATCGAAGATCTTTTGACTAGCAATCCACTAAGGTCTTTCTTCATTCACTCATTGGCCCACACCATCCCCCCTCCCCTCAAATTCATATTTTTAGCACGAAAGTCTCTCCATTCGTCTCCTTCGTCGGATTGTCAGCGCGCCCAAAACGCGGGCAGCATTAGAAGTTTATCTGGGTGTTGGCGAAGAATTTGACACAAACATTACTTTTATAGAAGAAATTATAAATCCAAAAAAATTCGTAAGTTGTTTGACGATAAGGAGTTTGCGAAATAAGCGATAAGTTTACTTGAGTTTTACCAAAATTTGACAAGTCCAATTCTAGGATTCAGACGGCAATTGGCTGCCACGGGGTCGACCGGTAGAAAAAGCTTTTCTCTATGACATAGTTTCGGATGGTAGTGGTTTGATTGACGTAGACAAATTTGATTATCTTGTAAGAGATTCCTTCCACGCAGGAATACCCATTCCATTCAACAAGGTGAACTTTTCATTGATAATCATCTACTTGAGACTAATAACAGCTTTTCAGGACAGCATTGAACGGCTTATTGAAAATGCGCGAGTTCTTCCTGATCCTGTTCTAGGATTTCCTCGGATATATTACGCAAAGAAGGTCAATTCTTCGTTGTGCTGTATAGTTGTTTTGAAAAAAAAGAGCCGATGAAGGAAGATAGACTACATTCCCAATTCTTGCAGGTAGCTAATATTCTTTCATCTGTGGGAGATTCACGACAGATGATGCACAATCTTGTCTATCAACATCGAGATGTACGCGCCGTTGAAGAATTGTAAGTCGTATTAGTTACGACATTTCCTACTAATGAGGAAAGAATATCAACCTAAGATGGCAGGTGAAGGCAAATGTAACAAGTGAAAAAGTGGGCAATCACTCTTGTGTCAAGTATGTTAACCACAAGGACGAAACACTAGTGGAAAAAATCCACATAGATTTTTGTGATTCACTAACTTTAAGCCACTCAAAGCTTGCCATCGGAAATACATACGCTCATAACTTCTTTAGGAAAGTTTTTCCACAATGAAAAGATTAGAAATTAGCGTTGTAAGCTTCGTCTAGTAATGAGACGTCTCGTCTCTTCAATCGTCAACTTGGTATCTTTCCTTGTTACGGCTACACTCGTTCCAGTCTGCATCACTTCGCGATGCTTCTTATCTCTGAAGCATACACGCTCTGTGTTTAGGATGGCGCAAACAATGAATTTGGCTGACAAGTACATCAAATACATGGGAGATGATGGAAAAGAGTACAGTTTGTCGAAAGTGACACAAAATTTAGAGGCTTATCTAAAGACTACAGATGCTGTACTGACAGAAGTAAGAACACTTCAGTGATTCCATATTAACTACTTCGTAACTGGAGCGTTAGTATACACATATTCAATTTTTAGATTGCAAATTCATCTAACGCTGAAATCAGTAAAGCGCGAAAAATTCTGGAAGACATTGCTCGCAGGAATATTCCAGTCATGATTGCAGAAGTAGAGTGTGGACCGTCCTGTGCTGAGTTGGGGGTATAGTTTGTCTCCTTTATTATGATAGTAACAGTTATTTGAAAGAAGTGATGACAAATGCGTGATCAACCAACAAGGTTATTAATGCAGCAAAGCGATGGCGGCCTCGAGTTCCTCGTTCGGGAAGAGTGCGCCAATAAATTTTTCGAATTAATGTGTGTGGCGTTGGCCACGCACACTGGAATTTAGGTATGCTTTCCGACTTTTTTTCGGGCCCGTAACTCAAAATCCTAGAAAAAAAAGAAGGCGTGGCTGCCGTTACATTTACCGGTATAAATAAGCCACTTGCACAATAAACTCATGTGAGTAACTTTCAAAAAATTTTCAAAAATTTCGAAAAATTAAATTTTCCTCAATGAACCTTTCAAGCGTATTGACTAATTGCGATTTTGGAGCTTTTAACCAAGAGTTATCTTGAAATAAGTGTGAAACAGATGCGTGACAAACTAGCAACGTTAGTAATGCCGCAAAGCGATTTGTTAGACTTACAAGGTAGTTGGTTGCAAAAGTAGTTGCGTTCGAAAATGTTCACTTATTCGTCAAGTAAACAGGATCATCCCATCAAGGCTCAAAGGCAGCTAGACGCATTCCGAAATTTACTTTTCTACAATGATTTCTTCAAACATGCTGAACTCAGTGTGATTTTGGGGGCTTCCAGCAATGCCAACGAGATGCAAAAGCTCTGAATAAAAACGGCTCGTTTTCTCCAGAGAGCTTCGTTGATAGGTAGCCAATTGCCGATTGCCGTTGGATGGATGCCCCTGTCCCATCTAGACAATCAGCTGAACGTTTCTGAAAGATTTGGCTAAACGCCCATTTCATTGCTTTCAGTTTGAAAAGCGACCATTGGAAGCTTTAAAGCGCTTTGATTGATACACGTAAAAGGTACAAGGGTGACCGAAAATCCAATTTTGAGAATTTGCTCAAGCGTCCTTCACTGAAAAATTATAATTTGTCTTATTCTGTTTTCATTATTTACATGTACGAAAAGTTTTGCTTTTCGGGCCCTCACCGCAACCCATAGGGAAAAAGTTCGGAATAATTTTTACACAGAATGGAAAATAGTTGCAATTCTTCTCGTTTTTCTTGGTTTATTACTATTCTGTGATTGAGCGATAAGAATGTTTTTATAAGAGTTTATCAACGTTGTGAGATTAAAGCTAAAAACTTTATTTATACTCATCTTTGTCTTCCTAAGTTTATGAAGTTTTCAGCTTTAATTTCACAATGTTGATAAACTCTTATATAAACACTCTTATCGCTCAACCAAAAAATAGTAATAAACTGGTAAGACTGTTAACAATTTATCAGTTGAACTACCTTTGCGATGACGTCACCTTTGTGTGAGCCGGCAGTCTTCAAACTAATTGAGGTACCATCAAACACAGAGTATGCATTGTCAGTGACTCAACTTACAATTTAACAACTTGATCAGCTGAAGGAAGAACGCAAACAACTAAATCATGACAAAATTCGCCAGTGATCGCGCCTTAATTTTATTCATATGTTTCTCCCTCATGTTCAGGCAAATAAAAGTTCTTTGCATCTCTCAACCTAATTACATTTATGACTCCATCTGAACATAGGCACTGAGAATACTTATTATAGAAATATGTGGATATCACGTAAGCAGTTCAACTTCAGAGATAATATTGAAGTTATAACCAAGTAAAAAACGCATATTTAAGTTATAGGAATTTTTTTAAAAAATTAAAGATTGTGCATCTTGCTATTTTCACACTTTTTTTAAACTACAGTTAAATAGATATAGAAACCCGGTTGCATACTTTACTTACAACTTGCCTTCCAGATGCGGATTAGTCAGAGCTTGCGAGATAGGTTTGGTGCGTATTACGATGACATCATGGTTTTGGTGAGTCTGTAGCACAAGCCAGCTTAGCAATTTCGTAAGAACTTCCGCGAAATAAAATTCCTATGCATATTGGTTTTCTTGCTAGGTTCGAGTGATTAAACGTGAGCTGGTTGGTAAAACTCACCTTATGACTAGAGTTTTGTTACACGATAACAAGGTCAATGATAAAATTGCTCAGACTGTCAGCGACGAGTGGGTGAGTGATCGTTAAGAAATAACTTGTTATTTTATATGGAATTTTTAGCTTCGTCTAAAAGCTCCACAAGAAGCTGCTGTCTGGTCCATCTGTTTGTACGTGTCTCGCTCTATGAATAATGAAGAGAGATCAAAAGTAGTTGATGCTTTCGACGCTGCAATTACAAGATTCGGTTTACGATGTGAGCGATTCTAAGCAATATTTGATTCCAGGGAAAAGTACATTAACGCTTAGTGGCTAAACAATCAGGGGGGTTAATGATCGAAGCCAAAATTATAAAGAGATTTATATTGATGTTCTTGTCTTAACAATGTAATTTTAAAATATTTACCTGTAGACTAATGTAATGAATGTTTATCGATGTCCTTTTTTACTTCTAACGTGGAGGTCCTACAGACTGAGTACTAAAGACACCTAGCACTTTTTAATTTGGACTGAAGGTTTTTGTAAACTTGTTTATTAAGAGTATTGTAATGCCTACTGTGAAGTCAAATCTACAACTAATCCTCTATGAAGAACCGTAAGGAAGGAATTGAAAAGATTCTGTACCATGCGGATTTTGGATGGGTGACCTTAGAAATTCTGCAATTCAGCAAATTCCCATACTATGAGTGTCAGATAGCATTTAATGGAAGTATTGAGTTGGCACACACGTAATGCACCTTTTTATATAACTCATGCCTTTTTGAATGTGACGTAAGAGCATGCAGTCACTCCTGGCAAACTTCGCCATCGCGTGCGTGGGTTAAGGTAGGTTACGATATAGGAAGAAAATTCTTTCATTGTTTCAGATTTCGCTAAAATTTGGTCTAAGGGGTTATCTGACAGTTGCATACTTTGACATGCCGATTACAAAAATGACACCCATTTATCACGAATGAGCCTCTTTAATGAGGAGAAGGTGTGATTTCAACGTCTAGTATATAAACATTTATGAAGGTCAATGATCGAAGCTGAAAATTATGAAGAGATCCACATCATCATTCTTGTTTCTACACTGTGATCTTACAAGGAAAGGATACTTGGGCAGTTTCTGTATGAGAAGTGACTGTCTCATAGAGCATGGAACGCTGATTTCAAATCTGCTTTCAGTGTCTGCAAAGCGCGTTTGTGATGGGAGTTATGAGAGTTTTTTAAGGCAAAAATTCAAGATCTTGGCTAAGTCGTATAATTACGCATTTGTCCTACATGAAAGTACATATAATACAATCAAATTGTTCCTGAACATTAAACGAATCTTTTATAATTTTTTGCATTGAAACTTGTGTTGCAAAAATACTTTTGAAAAAAAGTTGATCTTTTTTTGCTTGTAAATCCAGATACGTTGTAAGTAATGTTATTGTGCATGGAATCACAGTTGTAATCCTTCAAAAGTGCTTGATTCTGAAAATATAGCAGTTCTCCGTCAAGTCCATCGCAGTTTTTGATTTTTGACATTCCTGCAGATGTTATCTGTCTCGGTGGTTACCATTTTACGCGCTTTAGTGGATGCTGTATTATGTTTTCTAATAATGAGATAATTCTTTCGCAGATGGCGGAGATTTAGGAGCAAAAGTTGCAGTTCCTGTTTCGAGACATATGTGATAAGAAAGCAAGTCTTAACATCAAAGGCAGCGTCCCGGCAAAGTTAGGTGTACCAGGTTTTGTGTCCCGTGAACCCGTGAGCCCCTTACCTAACGATGACTAAATTTCAAAGAAGAAAGAGGTCTACGTGGCCTAAAACTTGTCCCGCGGCGTGGATCTTACGATGGAACCATGCCGCCTGCACAGCGATTTCGAACTGCAAGGCTAGAGCGCTTATAGAGCACACAGTCATGGCCATAGGCTTTCACAGCAACTCTGCGTCTTAACCTTAACGGGCTTCGTGTCTTCACGTCCCAAAATTAAATCTGGGTCTTCCAAAAGCTCATTTGCGAGATTCTTGCGCTTTGCAATGTACACAATCGAATCAGCCGGACGGACAAGCCCAGGACCGGAAAACTTAGGATTCAGGTTTTGATTGGACGCAGCCTTCGAAACAAGGAAAAAATTCTTTAAACGAGATTTTTTCGAATTGAAAAGAAGAAATTGCAGTTACACTGTAGGATCCAGAATTTTTGCTGAGAAACTTTGACATCGTGTTCTGCCGAGACGCCTTGTCTATTAAATGCGTATTCGTTTATTTGCGCTAAACGGTGGATGCCATGCACATCTTATCATTTTCATATGACGCCATATCGTTATTTTACCGATTGTGCGGCTGCAGGCTATAAATCCTCTGTAGAAAGGAATCAGTATGCGTTCTTGAAGCTCCCTCTGTGTTGCTTTGTACTCAAGAGAGTATCCTTTTACACGTACGCATTCAATTCAACTTCCCACCATTGATTCAGTACAAGTCGAGATATCTGTTGATACGGTACCGCGCAACGACAACACTTTCCAACGCGAGGAATTGGTTGATAGCGCGAAGCAATATCCCATTTGAAATCCAGCATTTGGTTGAGGAGAAAATTCGAGAATGGGCTCCTTTGCGTACCATTCCTCCAATTGAAATTGCGGTATATAAGGAGAAGCCCCTAAAAGAATGGCCTTCTTTTTTGAAGTCAGTAAAATGCATTCTTCTTGAACATCATTGACGATACTCAGTAGCATAGTTCAGAAGCGTGAAATCCAAGACATAGGCCCGTAGTAAAGCTGCCTCATTCGATCTCAATTGAGGAAAGCTTCAGTTGAGGCTTTGACGAGTCAGCTCTGCCTCAGGTGAGCCATTGATCCATATCGTTCATTCACATGTTATCATTCTCGAGAAGACCACGTATTGTAACAAGTCAAAACTCGCAATTTACGCCCACTCAATCGTCCTACTACTAGGAATAAAAGGAGTGGTTTAAACTTGTTAAAAGTACATGAAGAACTTTCTCTACCCTGATTCTAACAATAAGAATGGATAATAGCTCTAAGCTCGCAAGGAAAAAAATCCTTTCAGAACAGGTAGTTCAAGTTGCAGTGCTAGAAGGTTAATGGTTCAACATAGCCTAATTATTTCTTGCGATTTTATGAGCGCATGATTTGTTAACGAGTCATTACTAAACACATTCTTCTGGTAATTATTGATCAACTCCCTAGATTCAGGCTCCATCTTTGTTGCTTGTCATATGTGATCGCCTTCGAAAGTGCACAAACAATTGCTTGCACACTCTGTCGTACCAGCCAAGCGAATTCCCACTGTCCCCTGAGGGCAGTCATACCACGAGCGACTTACAGAAAATACACATCCATGCGATTTGGCTAAATGACACGGGAACGTTCGAAAGGCGTGCTGTCACAAAGAACAGCTGGGAAAAGACATTTTTTTCTCATCTCATAATTCATGCTATCTTCAGCTAAATTGCGTTCCAACGGCAAAATCTGTGGAATCTAAGAACCTTACTACTTTGAAGTATTAATCTAGCCTCTCAACACTCGACTGCCCAAACGAGCGTCTTTTGACACACACGAAACGATATACGATAGCAATTAACCGCATTTCTTGATTGCCTGAAAACGTTATCTTTTCCGTTTCTTCAAAATCTCCCCCCCCCCCCCGCCTTTTGAGTAACACAGAACTCAACATAATGGAAGTGCTACTATGAACAGTCTGCCTTATCTTCTACATGTCCAGGCTTCATCCCAAATTTCCTATCCTTTTCAAGGGCTTCCCCAGCCTTGAAAACATTTGACTTTTGACTTCTAGTAGTGTAGTAATTGGTCCTAAGACATCGCTGAGCTCCAACCTCTTATGTAATGGCTCTTGTGAAAGTCTTGCATAGAAGCCATCAACAACCTTTTAATTGAGCAAATTGGGATAAATCGCACAGGTGTTAACAAAAGGACAAGGACTGAAGGTAATGCAAAGGGACGAATTCTTGATGAGAACTTTATTATCCAATTCTGCGACAAGTTAAGTTCCTACGCGTTCGGCCAATAAGCATCTACCGAGTTCTGATGAATCCAAAGTGTGAACGATGGTGATTACCTGCTTGAAGGGCATTGTCTCATTACCTCGCAGGTGTTGATATAGTCCTATAAAACAATTGCTTCGCTCAAAAAAAACACTGATCGGTATAACGACCTGCAATCGGACTTGCCCTGATCTCGTGTTCTCGATAATAATAAATCGTCTCCAGCGCTAGGAAAGTCAGAGTCACCTTCGGAACAGTTACACAACTAACAGTTTCTTCATAGACACCAACAGTTGCCTAAACAACATTAGATTTTCAAATTGCATATATAGTTTGTTTCACGACACCTAGAAAGCACGTTAGATTGAGGTGATGATAGACGATAGGCAGCGTCAACAATGGGTGCAGATGTTGGTCGTGAAATCAGCTATCTATGTAGCGTTAAAGTAAAAAAAAGAGCTTGCATATTTAAGCAAGCCGAAAAGCAGTGAATGATCGTCTAACTTTTTTTCTACCCAAAACCACAGTTTTTGCTACTTTTAACGGAGGAATTTGACAAATTTGGGAAAGAACTGTCCTATTTACTTGAGAATATAGAATTGAAATTAAAAAGATTGGAGTCCGAATGGTTATTCCAATTCAGTGGCTCAAGCTAAAGCTAATTTCAAATACAATCAGGAGCAAGATGGATCACATGAAACGAAGCTCAACTTTTTGGTTTTACCCTTCACCTCACCTCCATCTACCCCCTAAGGCACCTGGCCAAACTTGATCCTCTTGATCCGCTTCGTGCAGAATGTGCGTCTCTAATTGTTATTTGGTGTATACAGCTGATTTGCATAACCATAAAAAATGCATTTTTACTTACGCGGCGCCAAGTGACGCTGCTGTTGCGCGCTTTTGCAGCGGATAAAGCAAATCAAGAGGATCAAGTATGGCGGGTGCCTAAAGGAACGACCATAGGTTGCCGGCAACGGTTGCCGAGGTTGCTAAAGGTGTCGAGGTTGCCGAGATTGCTGAGGTTGCCGGCGTTGCCGGTCGTAGTAGAAGGTTATGATAGCCTCCACGTTTCGCGCGCTCTCTAAGCTGTCTCACCCGGCAACCCCGGCAACCTCGGCAACTCCACCAACTTCATCGACCTCGACAACCGTTGCCGGCAACCTATGGCCATTCCCTAAAGAAAGCGCAAACTGAAAGATCAAATGATTGCTTTGGTTGGGTTCATCTTATATATAAAGCTGAATGTCTGTCTGTATGTCTGTCTGTATGTATGTCTGTCTGTACGTATGTGCGGAATAGAAATTTTTATTTCTGAACCGATCGGGACCAAACTTGGCACACATATACTTCGGGGCAGGGAGCGTGTCATAGGCTACTTTTCGTTATCGATCGATATCGATTTTATTGATTTTTTGCAAAATTCGAGCTAGAGGGCTGGAATTTGGCAGAGGGGGGTAATCGAGCATGCTGATCACCCCGAAGGGGGTGAAAGGCGGCGGAGCCGGGCAAGCCAGCTAGTACTGATCTAAGTTCCTAAACAGTTTCAGTACAGCGCACAATTGGAGCACAAGCATTTTCGAAACATGCAGGTCAGTATAAACTCAGCCTTCAGGTACGAGGCGCAGCTATATTACAAGGGTTTGATGCAGCACAATGCCGCCTTCATAAATTCGTAATTTCCATGATTCAACAGCCAAACAGAAAAAAAAGAGGGTGCTATTCTGCTATCCGAGACCCAAAAATCTTTCGTCATGGATTTTGCTAAAACTTGGCCCAAGGGGGTTATTCGATTAGCTGGTCACAGATATCGTACTAGTTTTGTACTTTAGCGTCATTTTCTGGGGTTACGGTGGGTATACGGTAGGGGTCAAAATCGTGGATTTGCCTGAAACTTGGCCCAGGGAGGGGAATAATTTGACATGCTGGTCACGGAAATCTCGTCTCACAAAGACGTTTTCCCGTGTAGATATGGTAGGTAACGGTAGGGCGTACGGTACTCGGCGAATCCTCTCCTGTGTTTGCTTAGGCAAGCCGCCGCACAGTGCGTCGCGCGTGAAGATGGTCCTATATGAAAGGCATGACGGTAGGGCGAGTCGGTGTACACCCATTACCAAACGCAAAGTTTCAGGCAAATTTGTCATTCTTAACCCCTACCATAAACGTACAGTTACTTCATAAAAAAGCCTCATCATGCGAAAAGAGTATAGTTTTCGTGATTAGCATGTCAATAGACCCCCAAGCCAAGTTTCAGCGAAACCCATGAATTTGGCTCCCTACCGTATGCTCACAGCTTCAGAAAATGACGCTACCGTACGAAGTAATCATGATATTCGGCATCGGCATGTCGAATAACCGCTCTAGGCCAAGATTCAGCGAAATCCGTGACAAAAAAAATTTGGGGCCCGGATAGCCGAATAGCCAAAAAAGACTTCATGAAAGCGAGAAGAAAGTAAAGCGGAAAGAAAGTAAGTAGCAACAGTATCAGTAACTATAGTCAATGCAAAAAACATACCAAGTATCGTTGAAACATTTCGAACCAAAAAAATTCACGATTTCGTGAAGAAGACTGTGGGGTTGTTGAGAAGTGAAAGTGAAGGTTCCCTCAAAAGGAGTGTCGTTGAGCGGTTCGCGCAATCGCCACCGACTCGCTCGTGCCTTGCGCAGTTTCGCAGACAGGTAGACCCCAGGCTAACCGATTGTTTGCTTCAGCAGTCCGCTGCGCAATTAGTAAGCTTATGTCGTTTGGCGTCAGGTTGGACAAAAATCGAAATGGCGTCTGCGATGCTCGCAACAAAAGTATTTTTTTATAGATGATGAAAAAGCCAGCAGATTGAGGGAATGATAAAAAGGTCCTACCAATGGAAAAGCTGACTTGATTTCCTTACAACATGACATCAGATGACACTAAATGCGCAGCGTCCTACTGAAGCAGGCCATCGGTTAGTCTGGCCAACCACAACCTTTACACACAAAAGCCCAGCAAGGTCGAGCGAGCCGGCTGGGGTTGGCCAAATTGTCAACTGCCACATTCTTGGGATAGCCTATATATCAAGATCGAAAACAATGCAGAAAATGCAATTACGGACACCAAAAATCAAAATTTCTGGATTACGAGTTAAAAAATAATCAGAAGTAGAGTACTGATAACAACGCACCTGCATAAATCTTATGGAAGTGGGTGGTATGCAAAAAGAGACTGGAAACATCTAAAGTACACACTTCATAATTTCAACAATAAAATCGTTGAGATGGGCCTAAACGGCAACCGATGAAGAAACATAGCTGCAGATAGATGCTAATTGGCAATGAAACTATAATAGAGGATGCTCACTTAAGATCACACAGCTGGACCAGCACGGTTTGGTTCCCACCCAATCACACATGTGTCAACAGAGTCCATTTGGGGCGCGGAGTTTAAGGAGTGGAGATATCTATGAAAAAAAACTCTGGAACACATCATATGCGCATCATCACCAAATAGAATCCCGAAAAGTGAGTTGGAAAGTTAAAAAGAGAAAAAACCAGAGCCATCGTTCTTGCAAAAGATTTCGGTAGGTAACATTTTTCTAAATCAAAATCAATCAAAGAAAAATTCTCTTTCTGACATGCGCATACCCAGCGCAGACCACTAAGATAGGTGCCAGACTTATCTGCTTCAACCGGTTCGTTCGTTTCGCCTTTCGCTTTTGGTCAGATCGCTGAATTGACCAGTAGTTAATGGGGTGAAACGGATGAACCAACCAGCTAAGTGTGGCACCTGCCTAACGCTGCGAGCGCGCAAATGTACATACGTCATCGGTTCTGCCTAATCACGATTGGGCGGTTTGTATGTGGAGCTAGAAGCAATATTCCAGAAGAAAAAACTAAGGCATTGAACACTTTTGTACCGAAAAGTAAATACTTGTTTTCTGACCAACTTTCTTTTAAAAAAATAGAATTCGTATGAAACAAAAACTTAGCATGCAAAGTCAAGAATGAACATCATGCTAAAACAGTTACGAATCAAGTTGATCGTAACGATAACAGCACGAAAAGATGAATGAACAGAGCTGTAATGCCATAACCCAAAAGCGTAGATCATTTAAAGAATGTTGCTAACCTTTACCTGCCCCCTTCTCTCCAACTCTTAACAACAACTAAAAACTAATAAACTGACTAACTAACTTCTGCCATAACTTAAACAGGTAAACTGGTACTCCAAAGATTCGATAAACAAAAGTTGGAAACCTCTTACTAAAACCAGCATAGCTCGGAGTGAGATAAGCGATCATAAGTTGCAGACCGTGAATCGAGTATTCGAGTAGCAGGTAATTGATCCTTAACCTGCTTGATATCACCAAACTTTGGAATAACGATGAATGTTTGAAAGCGTTTTTTCTCCTCTGCTCTTTGGAATTACACTATCGATAACGTCATCTTCATGGTCCTCATACTAAAAGATAATTCTGAGAATGGAACTTGGCAGTGAGCGGATGGAAAAGCAACATACAAGTCATTGACCAACCTCCAAACTGCTAAGACTCTTGAGTCCCATAACAACAAGCTCATCATTCTGAGGCTGATCTGCACGACTTCCTGACGATATAAGACTCCAAAAATGGAGGTTTATCATACCCTTTACGAGGTCAAAAAATGGGTATGACCATTCTGAAAACAACCTAGCTGCATTGAAAACACAATTCCAAGAAAGTTATAATCGGAGCAGCTTCTAAGAAGTGTTCAGGAAGTTCGTTTTTGATACAACCAGCGCGAATAAACCGCTCGTTGAAAAGAAAACACAATTCTAATGAACCTTTACATCAACTGGCCTGTCACGAATACATCATGATAGAAGCAAGAAAGAAAATGCTCGAGTAGCAGGAAAAAAAGAAAGAGAATGGACTGAACGGAAGTTTCATGAGAAAGTTCGGAAAATATGTGGAACTGATAGGCTATAAATTCTACGGTGCTCAAAATTGAGTAGTGAAAACTGTGAGCTCAGTGACGCAGAAAGACCCCATCAGCAAAAATATTGAAGAGAAAATATAAAGAGCTGTGTTTCTGGATAATGTATGTTCTATCGGTATCTGAGAACATTTCAAAGTATAATAATTGAGTTCGACTCAAAATTACTCCTAAGGAACGATCAAAATGTTTATAAACAGGACGGAGAAGAAGTCCAGCCAGCAAGTGAGCCTTTTTTGGATCGTACTGTCCATACTACTGTGCACAGAAATGCAAAATACCAATGCAACGGCAAGAAACATTTGAAAATATCCAAGTTTCGTTGAGCCAACCCACAACAGCGAGAATGTGTGCATTTTTACGTTGAATCTGTCTGCATTATTAGGAGAAGAGAGGCGTATTGTAAGTTACTCAGGAGTAACTTACGGAAACTTTCTCTAAACTAGCGGCCCAATGGCTAGCAGGTGTGAGAAATGTTGCATTGAGTCACCAAAGAGTCGTTTAACACTATTTCAATGCCGTAATAGCTAATAAACTTCATTTAGTGATGTTTGGATTGAAAAGTTCTGCTGGGAAGGCATGGTGCGCAAATAGTTTTAATGGCGAAAGTACGGCTGCTTGCAGAAGAATGTTTGGAGTCAAGAAAGATGTCGCGTTTAGTGAAGCTCATTCTCCAGAATAGAAATGCACACCTTACAACTCGCGCTTTTCCTCTAGACTCTCCCGTACAGCATCCTTCACGTAGCTCTCTTTTCTGTGGCTTTTCTTAGCTGATGTATTGTACGTTCTTTTCGGTGTAAAATTTTCCCAAAGCGTTAGCAGCTTTTTCCGACAAAGCATTAGAGGAGGGTGAGAACGCGATTCGCGTCCGTACTGCTTTCCACACAGGACCACTGTCGCGCGCGGAATACCCTGCGGTGGCCTTTGCCTAAGCAAAGGGTTGGGCCAGACTGCGCGGCGTACGCGACGTACGCAGCGTACGCCGCGTATGCTCCTATGATGAAATATACCGAGCGTACGCTGCGTACGCCGCGTACGCTGCGTACGCCGCGTACGCCGCTTCCCGGCGAACTCAGATACTTTTTCCGGCTGGTGACCGGGCGACGAGGGCTTTCCAGCCGAGTGCTGCGCCATGTTTTGGGGCGGAGCCTAAAACCGACCGAGGAGCGGGCTAGAAACTACTACCGGCCAGCATCCGGCCGCGTCTGCAAAAGTGCGGGAGCTGCACCAAAATACAGCTATCGCTGGAAAATAATACCGGATTTCAACATTTCAACCATGCAAGGCCAATTTTAGATCTTTGCAGTTGCAAATAGAACTTTTTCGTTTCTTTACGTCTACTCCTTGCTAATATAAGCCTAATCAATCATTTTTGAAGCTATCAAGTCTCAAAGTGTGCATTTTCTTCTGAATTTGAGGTAATTTTTGAAGTTATCCCGGATTTCAACACCTCCTTCGATTTCGACACTTCCTTGACCTTTCGCGACTTTGAATCATCGTTTTTTTCATCTCGATATTCTTTATGTTATATTCCGATATGATTTCTGATTCAAATACAGCCATTTTTTGCTGATAGCAATTAGAGCATTGGGTTTCATCTCGCTTTATGTATTTTCGAAAAATTAGTGGTTCTAGATGTCAATGTCTCATACGGATTTCGCGTCGTTTGAAGTTTTCGACGCGTGCATTTATCACTTACTTTCACTGATCACTACCGTTGATATTATTTGCAGGAGGTGGCATGGAGCACATGCGAGGGCGCAGCCACCATGGAAGTTTTGGAAGTCCGCCACCACCGGATCGCAAAAGTACTAGGAGATCAGCACCTCCGGATGTCCGAAGCATCAATTCCGTATCAGCCAGAGGAGCACAACCCGCTCAACAGCTCTCCCGATACTTCCCCGAAAAGAAGGGCGTAAACTTCCGCAGCTGGACCACTCCAAGAAATTTACTGTGGTGCTAAATAGATATTAAAAATCGGAAATTCAGCCGCACATTTCATTTCAGGCCTATGCCTTCAATACGTAAAGGAAGTAGGAGCCGAACTCGTGAAATTTGTATGTGTATTTGTGTATAGCATGTACCCAGTGTATTTTCTTGTTTTCTAAGCAAATTGTTGTCCTTGAATCAACACTTACGCGGCATCAACTATCGCTCGCCGAAAATGAACCAAGCAAAATCGCGTATTGACTAAATCTCATTATATACGGTCCGGTATTCTCATTCTAGTAAAATGTCACCTTATGAATATATGCAACATATCTATTTCACCCACATTTTTTTAGTTTTCGTTCTTTCTCATACTACGGATTCGCATCTTTCCGTCTTTTCTTTCCTGCATGCAAAAACTGGATTCGGTGTATTCATATGTTTCTGCGAATAAATCTACCATTATTCGTGTTTCGAATACAGCTGAAAACAAACTAACTAGGCAGTAGAGGGAACTTTGCTCCAAGGCCAATTGAGCTCTCCGTTTTCCTTGACCGGCTGGCAGCCGCTCTGAAAAACCGCGCTCTGTGGTAAATGTAATGCGCGAGGCGCTTTCTACCGGCTGGCACCCGCGCTACTCTCCGGGGCAAATCCGGCTGGTGTTCGGCCGGCGACCAGCTCGCCCGAATTGAGGTGTTGCCTCAGCCGGTTGCAGCCCGATCACCAGCCGGAAAAAGTATCTGAGAAGTCTGGCTCAACCCAAAGCAGGCGGAAGAAAGATTTGCGGCGTGCTGACGTGTTAAGACAAGTCAAAATCAGGATAGCGCTGGAGACCGCCGGTGAAAAGACTGTCTTCCACAAGAGCTTAATTTCCTCATCACTCTAGCCTTAAAATATCAGTTCTCCTTTCCCAGTTTGTTGGCCAAAATGCACTAAGTTTTTCCCTCTAAATCTCCACAGTGAAGTTGTCCACTTTTTCTCCGTTATTCAAGAAACTGTCCCGTTTGCAAAACCCCCTTTTTTCAAAAGCTTACTGAAGAAAGTCGCAGTATCCTCCTCCTCCTCCTTCAATGTACTTCTAGTCAGTGAGCTCACAGTGTCCCCCTCATCTTTGTGCCAAAACCGCAGGGCCCGGCGTACGTTGGTTCGAAAAATTATGGAAGACTAAGCTCTCCGCAAAATGCAGAAAGAATATGGTATTCGTGATTAGCACCTCAGAAAACCCCCAGACCAAATTTCAGCCAAAACTGAATTGACTCTTTTACTTATACCCACCGTTGCCCCACCAATTGACGTTTTTGTGAAAAAAAATGTAATATTTGTGATCCCCATCGACCAAATCTCAGCCAAATTCACGACATTGAAATTTTGGGCCGCGGACACAAGGATAGCACCGTTCGAACTTCCCCGCAAGCACTCATATAATCGCCGGGGCAGGCGGTCCTCAAATTCACGCTTTTCTGCAAGCGGTCAGCAGAATTTTGAGGCGTGGCCAAACCTTCAGCGTGCGGCACTTTCTTTACGGTTGCATTCTGCCAGCGGCAGCAATACAGCATTTTCTGCAAGCGCTTGGCAAATAATTTCTTTCAGCGAGTGCACGCCAAACTTTCAGCAGCGCTCGGACTCTTTTTACGCAGTTTCGGACGTACGCCGAGAAAAGGTGAGACTCTATGTAGCAGAGGTGTCATCGATGGTTTGATTAGCCAAGCTTGGGGTACCTTCTTCCAACGGAAGGCACCCTGGGCAGTGCGGTCCTCCACAAAGGACCGTGCCTTTTCAACAATTTTGCATATTCGGAGAATGCGGCACAGTAACCGCGTTTCCGCGAGAAAATGCAAAATTGTTGGAGGGCACGGTCCTTTGTGGAGGACCGCACTGCCCAGGGTGCCTTCCGTTGGAAGAAGGTACCCCAAGCTTGGCTGCGGTTACTGTGCCGCAACTTATCCACGGAAAGACCGCGATAGTTCTCCGAGCGTTCGTCCAAAAATTGGCCAAAATTATTCCAGATCTCTGCAAGCGGACCGAAAGAAATCAGCAAACTATTTTTCCGGTGCCCACTTGTTTAAAATTCGCATAGCTGCCTGCCCCGGCAAATTTCTGAGCAAATTCAATCCAAGTAAACACCTTGTTTTCCAAAATTCTTATGCCAAAGCGCGAATCTCCTTTTTTTCTGGAAGTTCTCTCTATCTTTATTCGCTGCAGCCGATGAGTAACAAATGGATAATGCGCGCGGCGATCGCTTTTAGGGAGCCTCCAGACCGCGCCGGTTGCCGCCCTTGCAACCGTTAGCCGCTTTCGCGCCGGTTGCCGCTTTTGCAGCCGAAGCGCAGGGCGTCAAGTCATTGTCTCCCTAGCGTGTGTGAAGCGCGGAAACTCATTGAACAACTTATTTTTCTGTGCCTTCTCATATCTTTTCTTGATTTTTCTTTTATAGGATGGATTCAAGGTAAGATAGTCTTTAGATAATGGTTGCTCCAAGACTTAAAACATCGCCGTTGGGGACAAATTCAATAAGTATCGACTACATTCAGCTGAAGTTTACCAAGTGGACGATTTTTTGCGCATTTTTTTCAGTTTTTCTTACACTCAAGTTTCATGGTTCTTGTGAGTGATGCAGTTTGGAGAGTTGGATGCGTCTTGATGAGCATTTCTGCATATTGAGAATGCATGGACGTAAGGGTAAAAAGACTGCATCACCCACAACAAATGTGAAACTGCGTTGGCTGTGCTGTTCTTCGCTACTTCCTCTTTCAATTTTGTTTTTAGCTCATTCAAATTTCAAATTTTTCTTGTGAGTAATGCGGTTTTATGCTTCACTGCACGCATTATCATAGATATGCACAAATGCTCATCAAAATCGCATCGAGCTTTCCAAACCGCACCTCTCATCTTCTTATATATAAAGCCGGGTGGGGGACTATACGTCGCCGAAATTGGAAGAGTCCCGCGCGGATTCCCTGCAGGAAGGCATGTCCGCGCATGTACAAGAGTGCGTATTTGTCGCAAATGACCGTGGGGACCGCCCTTTTTCGGCGACATATAGTCCTCCACCCTATAAAGCCGAATGTCTGTTTGTCTGTATGTCTGTATGTCTGTATGTACGTATGTTCCGAATGGAAAATTCCATTTCTGAACCGATCCGGACCAAACTTGGCACACATACACTTCGGGCCCCGTCGGGTGTCATAGGCTACTTTTCGTCATCGATCGATATCGATTTTATCGATTTTTATCGATTTTTTTGCTGAGTTCACCTACGGGGCTGGGATTTGGCACAGGGGGGTAATCGAGCATGGGGATTCCAAATACAATATTAGTTTTCAGGATTATCGATTACTTTTATCGATTCTATCGATTTTTTTCGCAAAGTTTGAACTACGGGGCTGGGAGTTTGCACAGGGGGGTAATCGAGCATGAGGATTCCGAATACAATATTAGTTTTTGAAATCGTCCATTATTTTTATCGATTTTATCGATTTTTTTGCAAAGTTTGAGCTACGGGGCTGGGAGTTTGCACAGGGGGTAATCGAGCATGCTATTATTACGAGTTCGATATTAGTTTGGCGCTATTCGGCTAACCGGACCCCAAAATTTTTTTGTCGTAGAGCTTGCTCAAATTCGTGTATAAGGGTTATCTTACATGCTGATTACAGAACTCACATTTTCGTCGCAGAAAGTCTCCCATATGGTTACGATAGGTGTACGGTAGGAAGTCAAAATCATGAATTCGGCTGGAGTTCGGTCCATATGGTTCATTCGACATGCTAATTACAAATATCATCTCTCTCTCTGCATAGTGGGACCTTTTCAAAGAGTTGTGGTGGTTATATTGCATGTCGATAACATCGATTTACTTTAAACTTTGTCTAGGGTGGTAATTTAGCGCGCTGAACATGACTATCATGCTGATTTCGCAGGATAGTGCATTTTCTTGGGTTACCGTGGGTGTAGATGGGTCGAAGTTCCAGATTTGCTCAAAATCTTACCTGTAACGGTTCACAAGTGTACTGCTTATGAATATGAAACTTGCTCGCTGTCATAACGCATTAGTGAAGTTATGGTGAGTTGCAGGATTTGAATGGACAGGGCCAATTTAGATCCCAGATATTCATGAAATGGGGAAACGGTCGTTTTGCATGGCGGTCTCCGGCCCCATCCTGATAACCTGTCCCAACGTGTAACGCACGCGGCAAATCTCCCGCCCCCTGTTTTTCTTAGGCAAATGCCGCCGAAGGGTGTAACGCTCGCGGCAAATCTCTCTCCCCCTATTTCTGCTTAGGCAAAAGTCGCCGAAGGGTGTATTGCACGCGGCAAATTTCCCTCCCCCTATTTCTGCTTAGGCAAAAGCCGCCGAAGGGTGTATCGCACGCGGCAAATCTCCCTCCCTCTATTTCTGCTTAGGCAAAAGTCGCCGAAGGGTGTATTGCACGCGGCAAATTTCCCTCCCCCTATTTCTGCTTAGGCAAAAGCCGCCGAAGGGTGTATCGCACGCGGCAAATTTCCCTCCCCCTATTTCTGCTTAGGCAAAAGCCGCCGAAGGGTGTATCGCGCCCGGCAGTGGTCCTGTGAGGAAACCATTACGGTCGTGGGAAACTTTTATACCACACGAATTGCCTTTATCGCGGGGGTTGAGCACGATATTCTTTGAACAGCACTTTAGGTAATTCCCTGCCGAGGTTTCAGGCAAGTTTATGATTTTTACCCGCTGCCACGTGATGGCTATGATATTGTCATCAGCGGCTCAGATAACCCCATATACTGAGTTTGAGCAAGATCCGTCACAAAAACATTTTGGGGCCCGGATAGCCGAATAACGCCATCAGTTTTTAGAATTATCCTTACTTTTATCGATTTTATTGTTTTTTTTTGTGCAAAGTTTGAGTTACGGGGCTGGGGGGTTGGTGAGGAAGGTAGGTGAGCATACTGATTACTCACGCAGCGGGAATAGGGAATGTAGAAGTGGGCACAGGAAATACAGGGATACAGGGATAGAAATGGAACGTTTATCGTTTTTGACAGGGCCAGGCGGAGCCGGGTAAGCCAGCTAGTAAAAGCATAAAACTTGAGCACAATAAAAACTGGAAAAAACGCAAAGATTCGTCTACTCGTCCACAAACTCCAGCTGAATGTAGTTAGTACCTAGCACGTCTGTTCTCAACGGCCATGTTTCGAGCCTTGAAGCAACTGTTATCCAAAAACTTGTACCTGGAAACCGCTTTATAACACAAACATTGAGAAAATGATATGAAAAAGCACAGAAATCGATAAGTTTTCGTGTTTTACATGCGCAAGGGAGACAATGGCTTGACCCGATGCGCTTCGGCTGCAAAAGCGGCAAGCGGCGCGAAAGCGGGTAACAGTTGCAAAAGCGGCAACCGGCGCCGTCTGGAAGCTCCCTTA